GCACCCGTCGCTCCTGCGCCACAGGAGGTGTCCCTTTGTCCCCCTGTTGCTGATCAGTCCCCGCCACCTTACTCCCCATCCCCTGTACTTGGGCGTCAGTCGGGGTCGGCTGCCCGTGGGCCTTACACTCCTGTATCACAAGGGTTGCCGGCTTGGTCACCCGTTGTTGCTCAGTTCCCTCCACCTTATCCTCCGTCCCCTGTACCTGTGCATCGATCGGGATCAATGGCTCGTTGGAGCCTTCAACCCGTGAGCCTCGCTCTTGGACAAAAACCTCTTTATCGACCAGGTCGTCCGCTCCCCCCCCCCATCCATTCCCCACTTCAGCCGGTTGCACGTGGTCGTCAACCCGCGCATCCGTGGTCGCAGTCCTCGAAGTTGCCAAAGCCGGCTGCATACTAGGACCGCACTGCCGCTTCTCAATCCCCACCTCAACCCCGGCCCCCTTGGTAGTGTCCTCCTGACACTCCTTACGTTTCCGGTGCATATCACCAAAGATCCACACAGGGGGGTTAATCTCCATGCGGTCATGCACCTCCACTGGAGGGTCCCTGTGCCTACCTCCGCCCGTCCCCCTGGGCGGCCGGGTATGTCGACCACGGGGTTTCGAGTCCTGTCGCCTGCGATAGCCCTCTGCTACTTCGGGGCCCCCCACGCGCCAGTGTGCCGCCTGCAACTCCTTCAGCACCACCGCATCGTATCGCTGCTCGATTTCCCTCCAGGCTCGCCTTTCCTCTTCCACATTTGACGCTAAAATGGGTTCCATTCGCCGGCGTATCTCCTTCTCCTGCAGCTCTCTGGCTGATTCCGCCCTGGAAAGGCATCGTCCTTCCCGTCCCAAATGCCCATGCGTAGAACAGACGTCGCAAAATGGAGTTTCGCTCATAATAAAGCGAAACTCCTGCGTAGTCGTAGGCCCAAAAGCCACAGCTACCCTCTCAACCTGACGCATCTTCAGTGGGACCCTAACCACATACCTCCGATATTCCCTTTCTTCTTCACAGAAGAGCGCTATAGAAACAATCTCGCCAAAAAGTTGTTGCACCATCTGTTCTTCGAGAGGGACCAAAAAGGAGGAGGGGCTGAACACTTTGACCCATGGCCGCTGTCGTTTCTCCTCCTCCCGCTGAAACTCCATTTCCGCAGGCGTTCGCCATGGGACCAGTTGTACTTCATGACCAACACATCCCACCAATATAGACTCCACCTTCCGTTCATGTATGAGCCAGTCCCTAACCTCCGTGGAGGGCGCCATATAGATGATCGTCCGCGAGCCCTCTATGTCAATCATCCCCTTCCACGGACCCCTACCCATTAACCACAGGTCTTCGCGCGCCGTCATCCATGCCTTCTTCATACGTCGTGACCAGGGCGCCACTACTTCTGGGAGCTTGAGCACTACTGCATGAGCCCGCGCGTACGTCATCAGTAAATACCCCAAATCAGGGGCCAGTCGCCCGACTGCCGTCCCCCCTTCGATGGTAAAGGATAGCAGATCTGGGGGTCGGAGCTGGAGCCCTAAAAGGAAAGCCCGACGGATCATCTGCATCAAACCCTCTTGGTGTGCTTCCATCTCGTTCACCCAACACCTATTTGACCAAAAGAAAGTCGCAAAAAAAGAAAACCAATTCGTAACACCCCCCACCCAAACTCGCCTCCTGTCCCCTCTTCGTAAGCCGCACCCGCACTCCAAAAGCGGAACAATAACCGCGGGACTCCCCATGACCGGGGTCGGCTAGTCAGCAAGACGACCCACACAAGAAGGCTAGTTACCCCCGTCACCTTCTTTTCCGCAGGCCAGGTCTCTGAGCGCAAAGAAAGCTCCACGCCCACCCGCCTGCACGACCTCCTTCCTTGCACACTCCCTCCTCACTCTCCTAACTATGTTCAACCATACTCCCGCCT